GAATAATACAATATTTTTATGTGAAATTAATGGATATAAAACTATTTTACAGTAACACAATCACAGGGAAGGTGCTCCTGCACTCCTCCTGTACTTCACTAAGTGAGTTTTCCTGATTACCTTGATTTACTTTACTGTACTTCAGCTGTAACTGAGCACACTTTAAATGATCCCTCAGCACATTTACATGTCTAAACAGATGTTTCCAGCTGTGTTGCATGCGGCTGGCCCGCAGTGTAGAGCTGTTTGGTCATCCAGCTGCTGATGAACTGCGAGCAGAGGCGAGGCCCGACTAGCTACTTGCTGAGCCAGTATACACGATTAGCCTGAAACTGGGTCGTCGTGTTAACAACAAAGACACGATGGTTTGTCCGCTTCCACGAGCCCAGTACACGGCTTTAACACTACGGGTTTAAAAGTTAACGTTAACAGGAGCGGACATCAACATTTACACCTGTATGTCCCCGTTAATGGATCGCTGGCTCCTCTATGGACAAAAGCCTGGAGAACAGGCCCGGCTCCCCGCAGGGCCCGTTTACCAGCGACACCTTAGAAACTTTAAAGCCCACATTAACTCCCATACGGAAGAATAAACAGCTAGACTTTTATAACATAATAATAACAACTCATAACTATTTTTCCTCACTAATCAGAACGTCGCCTCCATTCTCACCCAAAGAGTGGTCTTCTTTGAACATCCATTTCATGTTTGCCGTTTCCGGGCTCCTCTCGTCGGGTGCAGCGGGCTGTAAACGCGACTCACGGTTAAATTTGGGGCTCAGCAATCTTCCCGCTCGCTGTCCTCTCAGTTTTAACCACAAACGAACACACGGCTCGGCACCTCCCAGCGCTCCAGCTACACAACAACAACAACAACAACAGCAACAATCCTCTTCTTCACGATCAGCCTGCTGAGCCCCGCCCAGCCCGTGACGTCACCAAGGCCCCTACCATTCCGCCATGTAAAGGGGGGAGAGAAAGACGGAAACATCGACTCTTTCTCTCTGTAAACGTAATAATAACGAACAAGCAATGGCGAAATGCATCATAACTAGGCTAATAACCACATAAGACCTAAGTAAGATTAAATGTTTCCATTTCACTGTATGCATAAGCCGATATTAACATTTCACATGGTAGTTTATGCACTGTTCCCCCCGTAGTGATGCGCAGTCATACGTATTTCTCCTCGCTACAACGTAAACACAACCAGCATTACAGCGTTGTCCCCACAGACATGCGCAGTTTGAATCCCCTAAATGCAACCATTACTTACGTTAACAAATGCTGAGTATTAAGAATGTTTTATGATGTCGTGGCAGGGCTAAGACTTCTACAATAATTAATTGATATTAAGATAAAATGAATAAATATCTATCTTCCTGTTTTGCTTTGAAAGGAGAGATCCAGAGCACAGCCTCCAACTACAAACCCATGGCCTTGGTAATTCTGCTTCTGGGCCCTGTTTCAGGAAGCCGGTTTAGAAAACTCAGAGTGAAAAACGATACGCATGGTTGAGTAACCCCGAACTGTCCAACTCGGAATATTCGGTTTCAGAAAGGCTGATAACAAGTAGTTCAATCAACGCGGAGTTGCTTTAACCCCAAGTGAAGCGCGCGGACGAGGATACATAAAGCCCTGATAAGCGGAGCACAGATTAAGCGAGTCACCATGGAGACGGAGGGAAAGAAGGCGTGGTCAATGTATTTCACAGCGCTTGAGGCCGAAATTCTGATGGCAGCATATGCCGAAAACATGCAAATTCCGCGGAAAAAAGTAACACAGCCACAGCTGCAAAAGACAGGGAGCATGCATGGCAAAACATAGCCGACAGAGTCAATGCGTGAGTGTTAATTTAAACATTGATCTAGGGATTCCCACCCATTTAACACGTTATTTTATCATATGTTATTTTATTTTATATGTTATACATTTTATTTTGTAATGTGATGTGAGCGCAGGTGCAACCCAACAAGCCCCAAACGTGCCTGGCAGCAAGTAAAAATGAAATATAAAAATATAGCCCAAACAGGTGAGGTGTAATTGTATTATGAGCCATAGTGCTTGGTCTGTTTGTCCCATGTAAATCAATTGCAGTTAGAGGCTACATTAATTTCCTTTCTGTAAGCACTTATTGAAATTATCTGAGCACATTACAAGTACATATTTGCTTACTCTGTATGCTCAAATGTGGCCCGTTATAGCCAACAGAAAAAAAGCGGAGGCCCGAAAAACAGGTGGGGGTCCTCCACCACCACCACTCACAGAGGCTGAGCAGTTGGCCCTCAGCCAAAACAGTGGGCGCCCTGTGGCTGAAGGCATCTCTGCGGGGACATCCTCTGAGTCAATAACCCCGCAAGACACAAGTGCCTACATAGGGGGTAAATTCAAAATAATACATGATGTGCATACATCCTTTCTTCACAGTCACCTTTGCAGTGCTACTCATTCATTTGATAAACTCTTTACCATAATGGATTATTTTGTAGTGAAGTTATTTTCCTACTGATTTTGCCTTCCCTCAGGCTTGGTTGTCTTTGAGAGCATAATGACAATGAAGTGTAAGGTGCTTGGTATGTTTGTTAATTGCCATTTGGTCCCTTGTAAGTTATAAGTGACCTGTATAAACCTCATATTCTATCAGTTGATGGTGATGGTGTACTGCATCTGGTGCAGCCTCCTGTTGAGCCAGACCAACATGCAGTTGTGAGTAATACTCCACAGATTATATGAGTTTACAGTAGAACAGCAATGTTGTTAATTTCTTTACTACAGGAAAATAATGAAGAAACATTGACAGCTGTTACAGAGGAGGAAGCAACAGAGACACTTTATGAGGTTTACATCTTTTAATACTTTGTGTACAGGAAACACAGGTGACCAATAAAGCCAGTTGAACAAAAAATCTGTTTATTCTTCTTTCAACATGTTGAGATGATGGGTCAAAAGAAATGATTGTGACATATGGTGTCTCTGACTGCTCTTCCATCTTGTATGTCCGTGGGAGGGTCAGGATGTTCATGGTTTGGATCACTGCTGATGTTTGGTTCAGAAGGACAGTGTTCTCCTCTAATTGTGGCAATGTTGTGAAGAATCACACATGCCACAATAATGTCACATGCCCTTTCTGGGGTGACCCTGAGTCTTTGAAGGCACTGGAACCGGGCCTTAAGCATTCCGATAGTCATTTCAACTCTGGCTCTTGTCCTGCAATGAGCCAGATTATATCGCTGCTGTGGGCCCGGTTCAGGGTCAGGGTAAGGGGTAAGCAAATAGGGTAAACATGGATACCCCCTATCACCAAGCAAGTAGCCAGTGAACTCTCCTAAGACAGAAGGATACACTTCAGTTCAAATGTCCCTGAAGCAATTGGTCTTTATATATTTTAAAGTATTTTCAACTCACCATGTCCAAATTTTGTGCTCAGTGTACATTCACGGAATATTTGTGAGTCATGGACAGAGCCTGGCCACTTGGCTTCCACATTTGTGATAATGTTGGCAGCATCACATATGATCTTCACAGTGCAGAGAACACAAATTAGCATCCATTACTATAATGAAATAATTTGTTAGTTTGAAATGCTACAGGGAACTATGTACCTGTACATTAATGCTGTGGAAAGACTTCCTGTTCACATAGTCTCCTTCATTTACTGAAGGAGCAATGATTGGAATGTGAGTGCCATCTATACAGCCAATCACGCCTGGGAACCCTGAAAATAAATGTAAAATTTAAGTAGTAGTTCAAGTATCACCACATCATGAATTAAGTTTTGGTCATCCTGATACCTGCAATTTTGTGGAATCCCTCTTTGATAAATCTTGTGGGTCTATGACCGGCGAACACCACAGACGGGTACAGGAGACGTTTCAGTGCAACTGTGACATTCCTGACTGCCCGACAGACGGTAGCCTTGGAAACGTGCTCAGCGTCACTAATATTACACAGAAAGCTCCCGTTTGCAAAAAACCGAAGTGCAATACAAATAATATGCAATGAACTGAGAGCATGTCCGCGATGTGTCACATGCGTAATATATGGCCTGAGGATGTTATCCAAATAACTTATAGATTGTGCTGAGAAACGGTGACGTTCGCACAGAAAATCATCAGGAAATGATAAAATGTCCAAACGCGCTCTAATCACTCTCTCCCGGCGGAGAGCTCTGCGGAGAATTTGGGCTTCACAATCTACTGGCTCTTCAAGGAAGAGGCACGCCATGTCTGACACTTCCTACAGTCAGGTTTCCGACACAGAGGCGGAGAAAGTCAGGGTTAGTTGTAGTAAACCTGCTAGGGGGCAGGTTAGCTTCACGGCGTGTGTCGTCATAGTGACTCACTCAGGCTTCAGCTGAACTCGCTTTGTGAAACCGAAAACCCAGAGTTTTCGTTAACTCAGGGTATACTTACTCAGTTTTTCCACTAAACCGGCTTCCTGAAACAGGGCCCTGGAGGTGTTGCAATCAGAAACGTGTCATTGCTTTTTTTCCTCTCTTCTCATTTTATTCGAGTAACATAGAACTAATCTGTCCTAAACCTTACATAACAGGGGGGTCCAACTCATTTTACATCATGGACATACAGAAAAAGCTCTGGTAGCTTTTTGCCAAGACTGTCCTGAATTTTGGACTAACTAAAAGTTTATATTTAAAGAAGAAAATAATAATTTAAATTTATTTTAAAAAAAATTGTTCTGTTTTTCTATCTGTTACTGGCTGTGGCAAGGTCTTTGTCAGTAAAATAATTTGTAAAAAACTGAAAATACAAATAAAAGCTCAATAACTTATGCCCTGGGTATGGCGTCTTTTCTATACCCATTCAGCCCACGGACTTTATGTTTGACATTCCTGTTTTACAAAATAAATAAAAACCAAAGGCATGAATACTTCTGGGATTTTTAAAAACCTTTCCAAAAGCTGACTCACTAAAACAATATATTTAAAAAGCTGGCATTAAGTAATTCAGTTGTATAAAAGCAGGTGGGTGCAACTTAAAATGTTACGTTTAATGAAATCTGGTGAAATAAACTTTATTTGATTAGGATACATTCACTTTACATCAAGCATAATTTCTTTGATGTTTTTTTGGAATACATAAAACTTTTATTTCATACATTTCAGTTACACTTTCATCAAATGTATTGCTTCATGTTTATGACGACAGAATTTGTTTTAGAGTAAAAGCTTTTCTTTGTTCAGATATTCTAAAAAGAGAAATGCTCCAGCACCAAAGTAAGTGCTTTAATACAAAGTTTTATTCAAACTTCAGTAAACGTGTCTAAAACCACGCGTGAATTACACTGTACGAATGGAGCCACACGCCTTCTTCCCGTTGCCTCGTTCGTCTTCCGCTGTGGCCGCTCTGGTCTGGTTATCGGGCGGCAGCGGCTTCCCCAGGTGGTGTCCTGTGGAGATGCCGAGAGGCTGCGTCGCTAGTTCCTCCTTCACTTCCGGCCGAAGTAAGAATCCTCCCTGAAAGCTGAGGTCAAAGAGCTCACAGCGGGCAAAGGTCAAAGGATTTTCTGCAAGTAGTCCTTTGAGTCGAGTCCGCCACCCCTCGAGCATCGCGGCTCGTGCAGCTGGGGGACTGTGAGCCGGACTCCAGAAAATCTGAGGAGCCAGAACCTGAAATCCACAGAAGTGCAGAATCCCATTCTGGAAGAAACAAGAGCAGACAGAAGGGAGGAAGATGATTCCACAAGCATTCATCTTTGGGTTTGTTATGTGTTATTTGTGTAGCTTTCCGTCTTATGCCCTTCTTTATCAACTTTAATTGTGTTAGGGTTTTGTCTCTGTGCTCAGTCATTTCCTGTTTTATTTTGGTAGCTCTTTATTTCCTTGATTATTTTCACCTGTTTCTTGTTACCTAGCTGTTTTCACTCCAATCATTAACCGTCAGCTGTTGGCTTCCCAGACTTATCATCTGATGTTTGTTCTCATTCACTTCATGGATTTTCTGTTTTCTGGGTTCCTGCTTTGAGTCAGTTTTGTTTATATGTTTACCTTCAGCTTCTGTTATTTGATAAAAAGAGAGAAACAAAAGTCCCAAAAGAACTTTGAACTGCTGGTGGTACAGTGGGGCAAAAAAGTATTTAGTCAGCCACCGATTGTGCAAGTTCCCCCACCTAAAATGATGACAGAGGTCAGTAATTTGCACCAGAGGTACACTTCAACTGTGAGAGACAGAATGTGAAAAAAAAAAAATCCATGAATCCACATGGTAGGATTTGTAAAGAATTTATTGGTAAATCAGGGTGGAAAATAAGTATTTGGTCAATAACAAAAATACAACTCAATACTTTGTAACATAACCTTTGTTGGCAATAACAGAGGTCAAACGTTTACTATAGGTCTTTACCAGGTTTGCACACACAGTAGCTGGTATTTTGGCCCATTCCTCCATGCAGATCTTCTCGAGAGCAGTGATGTTTTGGGGCTGTCGCCGAGCAACACGGACTTTCAACTCCCGCCACAGATTTTCTATGGGGTTGAGGTCTGGAGACTGGTTAGGCCACTCCAGGACTTTCAAATGCTTCTTACGGAGCCACTCCTTTGTTGCCCGGGCGGTGTGTTTTGGATCATTGTCATGTTGGAAGACCCAGCCTCGTTTCATCTTCAAAGTTCTCACTGATGGAAGGAGGTTTTGGCTCAAAATCTCACGATACATGGCCCCATTCATTCTGTCCTTAACACGGATCAGTCGTCCTGTCCCCTTGGCAGAAAAACAGCCCCATAGCATGATGTTTCCACCCCCATGCTTCACAGTAGGTATGGTGTTCTTGGGATGCAACTCAGTATTCTTCTTCCTCCAAACACGACGAGTTGAGTTTATACCAAAAAGTTCTACTTTGGTTTCATCTGACCACATGACATTCTCCCAATCCTCTGCTGTATCATCCATGTGCTCTCTGGCAAACTTCAGACGGGCCTGGACATGCACTGGCTTCAGCAGCGGAACACGTCTGGCACTGCGGGATTTGATTCCCTGCCGTTGTAGTGTGTTACTGATGGTGACCTTTGTTACTTTGGTCCCAGCTCTCTGCAGGTCATTCACCAGGTCCCCCCGTGTGGTTCTGGGATCTTTGCTCACCGTTCTCATGATCATTTTGACCCCACGGGATGAGATCTTGCGTGGAGCCCCAGATCGAGGGAGATTATCAGTGGGCTTGTATGTCTTCCATTTTCTGATGATTGCTCCCACAGTTGATTTTTTCACACCAAGCTGCTTGCCTATTGTAGATTCACTCTTCCCAGTCTGGTGCAGGTCTACAATACTTTTCCTGGTGTCCTTCGAAAGCTCTTTGGTCTTGGCCATGGCGGAGTTTGGAGTCTGACTGTTTGAGGCTGTGGACAGGTGTCTTTTATGCAGATGATGAGTTCAAACAGGTGCCATTCATACAGGTAACGAGTGGGGGACAGAAAAGCTTCTTACAGAAGACGTTACAGGTCTGTGAGAGCCAGAGATTTTCCTTGTTTGAGGTGACCAAATACTTATTTTCCACCCTGATTTACGAATAAATTCTTTACAAATCCTACCATGTGGATTCATGGATTTTTTTTTCCACATTCTGTCTCTCACAGTTGACGTGTGCCTCTGGTGCAAATTACTGACCTCTGTCATCATTTTAAGTGGGGGAACTTGCACAATCGGTGGCTGACTAAATACTTTTTTGCCCCACTGTACCAGCAGCTCGGTGACTGGCTCTTATCTCCTTTTTATGTAATCACACCCACATCAGCAGTGTTGCTGCTTTTCAAAGACTCCTGATGCTCAGTTAAAGCTTCATATTTTTTTCCTTGGACTTTCCTACTGTAGCTTTGCATGAATTAGAGGCGTTCCTTTATCGTACCCTGGCCCCTCAGCAGTCAACAAATTATTTCTGTTCAGCTCCACGAGCCTGCCTGTCAGAGGAGGAGGGTGCATGTCTGTTTGTATCAGCTGATAACGGCGGTAAATGGGCCAACGGATGAGGACAAAGTCAGCTTTGAAACACTGGAGGAGCTTCAGTGGTTTATCACAGTTTTATCAGCCGAGACACTGAATCACATTTGTGCCTTTGTTTGTGCTGCAGCTTGTTAGGATCAGAATAAGATAATCCTCTGGGATAAAATATGGGCCTTCACTACGATAACCATACACATTGAAAAAAATGAGCTTTGAGGGCCAGGCCCGTCTCCCTGATGCTGTACCACATCCATGTGTGACTGAGAGGCTCCAGTGGATTTGATAAAATTGTGACATTTAATAACTCAGGAATGAAAACAACATCTGTCTCCAACAGGAACATCACAGCTATGATCGATTCCTATTAATCTGCCTCCAACAGGTTTCTGTATGTGAGATTAGGATTACAGTGGATCCTCTGAGTTTTTGTTACTCTTCTGCTGTTTGAAGTTTTGAATTCTTTTGTTTGATTTGTTGCAGCATCACTGAGTCTTTGATTTTCCTCCTAAGAACTTTCTGTTTTGTGTGTTCTGGTTCACGATGTTGCCTTAATGTTTTGACTTCTCATCTTACTGGATCTTACTGCATAGTTGTGCATGCCGATTAATTATATAATTTACTATGCTTGTAGTAAGTTGTGAATTCTTGGTCTTTGTTTTGAGTTTATTTCTCGGGTGTCTCACCTGCAGAGGCCACAGGGTGACGTTGATGTCCCCGTTGATGCCGTCAGGCTGAAACATCGTCGGAGCTGCTCCGGTCGTGAACGACAACATGGCTTTTTTATCCTTAGAGGAAATATAACATACAGTTGGATAACCAGACCAAAACACGTCCACAAAGAAAAGCTCTTTATTTTATCAACATCAAGTTTTCCAATAATTTTCAAACATATGTACAGAAATTCCTTTCTTGTCTTTTGCTTTTCATCTCTGAAACATGAGCGCATCACCTGACTGTCCCACTTAAATGTAGGTTAAATCGATAAATCCAGACTGATATTAATGGAGTTGGTTGTGTTATTTGTTGCATCCTTCTAATGATTTGATGTTCTCTGCTGGAACGTACCTTGAATATCCCGTTATCGTACATCTTTTCCAGGGAGAAAGCGAAGCCCTGTGACAGCACTCTGTCTATCCAGCCCTTCATGACGGCGGGAAAACTGAACCAGTACAAAGGAAACTACAGAAGGAAAAAATAATGTTGTTATTAATACCATTCAGAATTTTATTATTCTCAGTCATTTTCTAGTTCAACACTCTTTTACATCAAGCATTTCCAAAGACGCAAACATGCCTGTACTAAAAGCTGCAGTTCCCCTAATGTCCAGCAGAGGCAGAAGTGAGTCAGTCCCCATAGACTTCCAAACTTTACAACAGAAACAAACATGTTTACAGCCTGGTAGCTGGTCTCTGTACATGGAAGAATGTTTCTATAACCAGTGTTGGGAAGGTTACTTTTAAAATGTATTCCACTACAGATTACAGAATACATGCCCCAAAATGTATTTTGTAACGTATTCTGAATACTTTGGATTACTTTGTGGTGGAGGTAAGCATGGACGACACAGAGCTCTCAGTTCTCACTCCTTCTTTATTCCTCTCCAAAATCAACTGAACACATCGCGCCACAAAACACAGCAACACACTTCCTCAACACTGGGTGTGAGTGGAGCCCTCTAGTGGTCCACCATAACTTAATATATTATCAAGCAGTTTACAACTACATGAATGTGATTTATTACTATTACTGAAGGTCCGCGGCACTGAACCGTAGTAAAGGGACCTCTGGCTAATACGTCGGGTTCATGTCGGGCTCGTAGCCGAAAACTTACTTTACTTTGTTGTGTGGGTCAAGTTTGCTAGCGAGACACAGAGAGAGGCGTTGAAAGGCTGCTGCAACAAAACTTATTGTTTCGGAGGAAAACACGAACACGGTGTACAGTCGAGTCTTAATAGCTTACTTACAACTGGGCTCGTCAGGCTCTCTTTTTGGCTGCAGTGGTTATTATTATATTTACATGCTTCCAGCTCCCGTTTCTGCTCCGTGACAGCTCATACTTTTCATTTTTCTCCCTCCTCGCTCACAGACACATCACGGGTATGGCAGTCCATTCTCCCTGCAGCACGGACTACACTGCCCATGATGCTGCATTCTTTAGAGCCTGTAGCATTCTGCCTGTTAGCTTAGCACAACAACAACAACAAGGCCTCTCTCACCCAGGAAACACACAGTGGCAGAGAGAGCGTCACCCTGTAACCATGGCAACTGTAACGCTGCTGCCTGGAACAACAACATAGCTGTCAAACAAAACCCAAACAGTCCTGACCTGCGACAGTGTGAAACAGGAAAATACCGCCGTGTAATCCCTTTATTTCAACAAGGTAAATGTATTCTGAATACCGAATAATTGTTCTGTTGGAGCCTTATGGAGTATTTTCAATGACCTCATGTGACCAAAAATATGGCTGCTGTGAGGTCACTGTACTAACAGACCGTCCGAGAAGGCGGAGCTCCAGGTTTGGAGAATTTTATTTGCAATAGAGATACGACAGCTACTGAGGAAGATGAATTTTATCACCCTGAAAATCTAAATCCTATTTAAATCTAAATTTATTTCTAAAACCACTTTACTTCATGTTGCTCAGATGGTGGTTTTATTAGTCTGTGTTCTGCTTCACTTTAAATATTCTGACCTTTCATGAATCCGCCTCAGGAATAATCTTTCAGAAGAACAACAACATTCCCGATGAGCAGGGCGATTTAAGGAGCTTGTTGAATTTAGAACACAGAAGCTGAACATTACAAACCATTAAAAATGGAACCGATCTCTGTATTCTCAGGATAATCCAGGATGTGGGCTCACTTGTGTTTGTGGGCACGATGGAGAGGTTACTCATCATGAAATGGGAAGTTGTGACACTCAATAACTGCAGCTTTTAGTGACCTCTGACCTGGAAGATGATGAGCTCGGCCTCTGTTACTTTGCGCTGCTCAGCTACGATGTCTTCGCTGAGACGGCCCTCCATCCCGGCGTGCAGGGTCTCTTCTCCGTACTGGAAATGCTCAGAGTTCCTCACATCACCTGAACACAACACGCTCAGTCAGAATCTCACTGGGAGGTTTTATCGGTTCACTTTAATTGGGTGTTTTCAACCCAGAGGCACCCTTTCTATATAAAACAAACCTTTGACTTAAGCTGAGAGTTATTTCACTGATACCCATCAAAGGCCATAATTTATTAACAAGTGTGATGCTTGTGAGGGGAGATAGTCCAGTGTGCAAAAAACTGATCAGCAGCATTTTTTAAAAACTTTCTGTAGAAACTATAACAAAAGCTGTAGCGGCTGGAAAAAGGCAAATCTCACATAGTCCCTGAAACATCCCTTCAGGTCAGCATCTAAGGTCTGAGTGCAAAGCTGAGGCAGCAGAGCTGTTTGTTGGGTAGCTTCAAAGTGTTTGATGAGGTGATGAAGGCGAGGTTAGCAAGAGTCACGTGGCATGCCTTCATCCATCAGTCCAATCATTAAAAGTTCTGATGATAGTTCAGGGCGCACAGGAGCTGTTTTTCACCGGGAGACGTGTCTTAAAGTTTCAGCTTCCTCTTTGGTGTCCACTGCACACAGAAGTTGTGTCACCATGTGGAGCTGAGGGGCATTTCAGCTCAGAGCATGCCCCGTCTGAGCACTACAGCATTAAAGAGCAGACTACAGCAGACAAAGAAATGATTAGCCTGCGAATCAGACCAAGGTATGTTTCATTCACTTTAAATATTTACACAGATTTGAAGGTGAGGATTTAAAGGTGAGGTGATGGACCACAAACTGAGAGACACACAGAGAGCAGCATTAAAGCTCGAGTTGGTGTTTTGCCAGGATTTGCTGACAATGAGAAAGATGAAGCTCGGCTCAAAACGTGCCCAAAGACACAAAACAACAAAGAATAAATATGTCAGATGAATGCAGACGAAGCACAAAAAAGGCCAAAAACTGACTGACAGATGCAACGTGAGCTCAGAGAGACACGCCTGCAGTCATCTCTGTCTCGCAGCATCTGAAGTCATAAAGTTTAAATGTACAAATATGATGAGCTCCTGCACTCTGCTCTGATTTAAAAATAAAACGATGAAAAAAAACTGTAAAGCACTGATGATGAAACAAGCAATAATGTGTGTGTGTGTGTGTTCCCCGTGTGGGGGGGGTCACCGATGATGTCATCCCGCGTGGCACTGGCTTTGAAGTTCATGGCGTACAGGTCAGACACGACGACCTCGTATCCCTGCAGCTTCAGCTCCTGCAGCGCCACGTCTCGAGCCGCCGCGTTGAACGAAGCCGGACTCTGGTGGGCGTAAACGATCAGAGCTGTCTTCTGAGCTGACACACACACACAGACACACACACAGACAGACACACACACACACACAGACACAGACACACACACACACACACACACACACACACACACACAGACACACACACACACAGAGCTGTTAAACCTTGAAATCAAGTTTGATGACTTTCTTTGTCGTGTTGCTCAAAATATGAAAACTGGAACAAACTAGTGAAAAAAATGAAAAGAGTTCAAATTTAAATCTGGATGTTTATCAGAAACATTTCCTCTTTAACAGTAAACACAGACGTACAGCTCGTCCGACACAATCGAGCTTTAAATAGTGTTTCTAAATACAAAAGACAGGAAGCAGAAAATCCTGTAAATAACCTTCAGAAGGTGAAACTAGAAACGTTAAAGTCACAGCAGGCTGACCGCAGGATTTCACAGTGCTTTCTGTTATTATAAATTCCTCCTGGTCCATCTGGATGTAAGAACAAAAACACATTCCTTTGTTTTGTTTTTAGCTTATTTTTTTATTTCATGCACAGCTTCAGAAGTCCGAGAGAATAAAAAAGAAACAGGAAGCCTCCAGTTTAGTTTTTCCTTCCACTTTAACCAATAAGCAAATGTGAGAACACCAGAGGTGGGACCAAGTCATTGTTTTGCAAGTCTCAAGTAAGTCTCAAGTCTTTATCCTCAAGTCACAAGTCAAGTCTCAAGTAATGTCAGGCAAGTCCGAGTCGAGTCTCAAGTCACTGGTGTAAAAGTCCGAGTCAAGTCACAAGTCTGAAATTTTGAATTTCAAGTCCTTTCCAGTCTTTAAAAAAAACACACGAAAAAAGCATGTTGCAGTTATGCTAAATGTAAATATTAGACCATGTGATTTTAAAATCTGTGTTTTTCTCAACACATGACAAAATAGTGAACTTAGAAAATATACACAAATTGTGAAATTGCACCTCTTTAAAATGCAGCTCAATTAAACTTAGCTCCAAGAATAATTTTCACCGACAGTTCTGAGATAAGCTGCATGTTATTCTTGGATGCGGTTGTAGGACCAGCTTTAAAAATCGCATGACAAAAATATCATACACATTAAAAAAAAACTGTATCACCAACGTAGCCTGGACAACATTTGCTAGTTAGATGAAGTCAGCTATCTCATCGTAGCATATTTATAATCATACGGTTCTTGGAGTGAGTGCATACACTCATGAAGTTTAGTAACTTCCGGTCACTGCAACAAGCCCAGGTACAGTTTACTGACGGATGGGTGCAGGACCTTGAAATGCACCGTGTAGAACGAAAGACCATCGTACGTATCATAAGTTTACCAGTCTCACAAATCGTCGTCATAAATACACATTCGTTAACCGTTTATTAATAGGACCTTTGAGCTCAACGGTAATTAATTAGTAGTGGAAATAATTTCTGGTAGCATCACAGAAATGTAGCAGTGACAATAATATTGTATGCTGTAATCGCACTGGGCAATTAGTGATACAAAACAACTGTTTTATCCTGTGAATAAAAGTATATGTTTTTGTCAATGTACCATAATAACAGAAGCGAAACGCAATATTGTGTCAGGACAATTCACTATTTATGCACAATAAATAAAGGAGCATAGCGCGACAATTTCTGTTCAGCGCCAGACTTGCTTGTAACCTATATCACTAATTATGTTAAGAAAAATGACGCATTAACTACAACAGCAGACTGACCTTGGTGTAAATGCTTGGAGCAGACTAACCTGTGAGCTGGAGTGTTCTGGGACGTTATATTTGGTCTTTGAATGGCTGCAATCCAGTCGCCTCTTTGTTACTTCGGAAACATGGCTCGAACAATTTCTCTTTAACGACGTAATCCGATAACAACCGATCTCTTTACCCGTCGGCTTCCCGTGGCTGTCATGCGACCGGCTATTGCAGTTAATAATACAACAGCTTCTTGACATTTTTGTGTTTCTTTTTATCGCTGTGTGACTGATTTTAATTGAAAGCCTGCGTGCGCTAGTACCGCTTGCCACGAGTTCCCAGAATCCTTTGCGGTTCTACCCGTGAATGACGTCACATTTTCAATCTCTATATAATATGCATGTTAAATTTTATATTTGGGGTAAAATATCAAGTCTTTTCAAGTAAACCGGTTCAAGTCCAATTCAAGTCACAAGTCATTGGTGTAAAAGTCCAAGTCAAGTCACAAGTCTTAGAACATTTTTTCAAGTCAAGTCTAAAGTCATAAAATTAATGACTCGAGTCCAAGTCATGTGACTCGAGTCCACACCTCTGGAGAACACCCAGTGTGGGGTGTATTAATTCATTACGCCATTTTCACATTCCTGCAGTGATCCATTATCCAAACCTGAAAATCTTTCTTACTTTGAGGTCACTGTTTTTACAGTTCTGAGAGCAAACTTTATGAAAAAAATTACAAATACTTGGAAATATAAAGAAAGACATAAACCTGAGGTTTGTTTGGGAGCTGTGTGGATGCACACGGTCTGCCCACAGGACGCTCAGCAGTTTATAGATTTATTTCTCAGATTTTTACCAATGAGCGCAGACACTTACCCATGCTGCGTCTGCTGGACCCGTCGGCACAGGAGACCGGCTTCGCGGAGCTTCTTATAGGCCCACGGCTTTGTTAGCGTGACAAACAGGGTTAGATCAGATGTCAGGATAGAACAAACCTGTCTGAGAGTCATAACAGCATACCGTGGGGGGCGGGGCATGTTGTCAGAGTGCAGGGCCGGTTCAGCGGGGTGAACGGACTCTCATGACTGACAGCAGAGTGGACTTTCACATAGTTCACGGATGATTACAAAATCACATAATGGAGACATGATTAAGAATATGAGGCCTTTTTTATTTTTATTTTGATCTCACTCAGTCCACAGAACTAATCTTTAATCAGCCAGCCAAGCAAAAAATAAAACGACAAAAAAAAAGATTAAGTGGAAGCAAAAAATTATAATGATAAAGTCCAAAAACAGGCTGGACATGAAAACAGCCAACGCCAGCCAGGAAACCACAGGAACACCAAGAACAGGAAGACCTCACACAAAGAAAAAGGAAAAGGAAACCTGCAGCGAGCAGCAACGCGACACAGCGTGACAGGAGCAGGCGGGAAATCAGCTGATACTGAGGGACAACGGTGAGGCTTTCTTACTCAGCTAACATCATGCTCGTAAGCTGTCAGTACGAACCACGGCAGTGAGAAACAGGTTCTAATAGCATTATTATCCCTTTGATCTAAAAGGGCAAAGGTCAGAGGTCAAAGTCTGATCAGGATCCACTGAAAGCTTTTCCACCTATCATGTTTACAGACACTCAAACGCTACAAAAACCATAATGTCCTTGGCTGAGGTGAGTGGGAATCAACGAAGAAACCCAAAAACCATCGAGATTCACTGCTTAAAGGTGCAGTAGGCACCAAGTTTAAGTCACTTCCATCAGACAGGCACCGGGACCAGGACCAGGACCGGGACCAGAATGAGGACCGAGACCTGTAAACAGCTTTGTAAAGTGAGACATGTTTAGAGGCAATCCCAAGAAAACATCTTTCACCCCTGAGGTTGTGTGCTGCAGCTAAACTTAGAGACGGTCAGTTTATCTGTGTGTGCGTGTGTGTGTGTGTGTGTGTGCGTGTGTGTTTATCTGTGTGTGTGTGTGTGTGTGTGTGTGTGTGTGTGTGTCATGGTACAAGAGAGTGTCTTGAAGCTTCTATCAGATGCTGGTCATACCTGGAAAGCTCATCTGTAACCATCGTTCTCCTCCTGGACTCCCTTGGAACTCTGGATTGGATCTCCTGCTACTCCCACTGCTCTCACCTTGCCCGGACACTCGAGCGTGAATCTGAGTCCTGATTGGATAAGGCACAGACAGGAAGGAAAAAGTGATGATTATTAGTACAAATGGAAGAAGGTGATGGACTTGGATAAGTTTAGCTTCTTCCTACTCCTTTTTGAATATGTTACCATATTAATTATGACTATTCTGTTCTCCTTATGTTTTACTTTGATTTTTTTTTTCATTTTCTTTCTGTATTTTTTTTTAAAGAAAAGAAAGGCGTACAATTCCAGCTCCAAATAAATTCAAGATGTATGCGAGTTGTGTTTCTGTAAAATATTCGGCGTGTCTACATTAACCCGTCTTTTCCATATCTATCAGATGTGACCTTTATCTGAATGATCCTGAGGTGGATTCCCGACACGCTACTCGCACGCTACAGTTCAGGCTCAGCAGGCTGCACTATCATAGGAATGCTGCCTGCACACCTGTGTCACCTGCTGTTCACCTGATTAGACCTTCAGATAAGAGTGTGCTTTACATGCTGATGTGCAAACTGTGAATGCAGCTCTTCCAGGAATGAAGCGCAGCAGTGCTGCATGCCTTTCAAACACACAACCAGATGGTGCAGTCTGCTCTTCTGCACCAGTGAAACATCACAGTTTGATCCAGTGTGAACAGCAGCCAGTTGTTCAGCTGGTGCTGAACTTGTTCTCTGGGTTAAAAACATCACCGCTGCTGCTGCTGGATCTCTGAGCACCTCAATGCTTCTGGACTCAAACCTGTAACTCCATCTCATTCACAAGGAGTGAGCTCTGGGGCTATGAGGTACACGCTGAAGTGCCAAAACCTGCAGTTCCTCTAACGTCCAGCAGAGGCTTCAGCAGTGACTCCCCCTTCATAGGAACCCTACAGGGCGGGGGGTTTAGATTCACCAGTGTGGGTCAGCTGAAGGGAAATGGCAGTTCTGGTGAAAGTTGAGACGATGAAAGTGTATTCACGCCGTGTCTGTGCTACCTCTGTCAGCCGTGACCTCGAGCCGAGCCGGGGCCTTTCAGTGTAAGTTTTGCATGTTCTCCCTGCGCCTGCAGGTTTCCCTCCACAGTCTAAAGACTCACGCGTTAGTTTGATTCTATGCTGGCCATGTGACCTGCTGTATGAGCGTGCGGTCAGAGCGCCACATGCAGTTCAAAGTGCTCCCATTGGTCAGTAAGAGGTCATAAGATTAGAAATGCAGCTGAGCTGTGGATGTTTCTCTGATGAGGCAGAGAAGACCGTGTGTAACTGTGCTAATGTTGTTTTAATAAAATATATTTACATTCATAATAACATACATGTTATTATGTCCTGTGTGTCTAATCAAACACAGGACAAACTCCGCACAGTAAAAAAGTCTGAAGGACTTTCATGCACTTATTTTAGTCCCTGGTGTCTCACCTGAGTTCCATCCACGGTTAATCAGCAGAAGGTTCTTGAGGCCAGCGCTGTCCTCCACTCTCCACCAGTTTGTCAGCTACGTTCTGGTGGTAACTAGGTCTTCATGTACCTTGTTTTTGTGATTTAGTCCTTGTGTTTAATCTTGTTTCCCTGTTCCTTCGTTAGTGGTCACATCTCCAGACCCATCCACTGCTGAAGCTTCTATCGGACGCTGGTCATACCTGGAAAGATGGGGTGGAGCCACCACAGGAACCCACACTGTGCATCACTGCAGTGTTCGTGTGTTCAGCTGCTGATGCAGAAAATGTAGAATTGCTTTAATATTTGAATCCAGGGGCGGGTCCAAACTTTTAGGGGGGCTCAGTTTCCAATCATACTGTCACGCGTGCCTTGTAATTAATATTAATGATTCAACTGGAAAACGTCACAATGTTACGTTCCAAAGCCACCTAATGTGTTGGATGACCTACTGTAGTGTCTAAGAATAATTCAGAGGGAATAATCAGAGATTTCAATCTAATCCACCGTTTTAGGGCGGAGCCTGTAGTTATCGAACCCGAGGCAAAAACTCAGCCCCCGAGGCCTGGAGTTCGACACCTGTGTGCTGGAGGGTGTAGGGAGCCACAGCCCTGTCCCCCAGGGCATGAAGCATGCATGGAGGAGATCCAGGCCCAAGGAGTGCGAGAGCCCAAGGAGGACCACCGGAGGGGCATCTGTGCCACCCACCTGGGAAGCTGAGGAGAGCCCCAGACGAGGAGTCAGCCAGCAGCCACGGAGCAGAAGCCAGACGGGGCTGCAGTGGCGTGCCCGTGGGCTCCGCCAGCTGTGCCAGAGTGTTATTGTAACATGTTATTGTTAATACTATTAATGGTTGTTTTTAGGGGTGCTCTGATGGAACTAGTCTATGTTTGAATCTCGCTCCGCTCCTCAGACCTCAGAGTCCGAAGAGACACTCAAATATTTAGAAAAATCACAGGGCTTTGCTGACAGTGGTGAACAAACACATGGAATCAATTATTCAGGGGGAGGGGCATCCGAATTACAGTCTTATTGCACCACAACAGTTTATAGTTTCAAGCAGGTCCAAAACCAAAAGCCAGATTCTAAGCCAAGCTGACAGCTGAAGTAAGGCCAATATCAGCCCAAAGTCAAGCCTACCTGCAGCCCTACCTGTCCAGGGTGTGCCCCGCCCCTCACTCAGTGATAGCCAGGCAAGCAAACATGGCGATTTTTAGAGGACGCCCAGTATGGTGTCCAGTGTTTGAAGCCAGTGCAGAGCCGAGGTTTGAGCTTTTTGGCTCTTATCATTTTATTGTTTTTCCTGGGATCGTAAAAAGCATTTTAATACTTGGAATAGTTTAACACAGAGAGCTGCCCAGAAGGGCGATTTTATCACAGTGGAAGTAAAACAGCCAAAGCAAAAGGGAATTCATGACGATGTTCTCAAATGTGTTTTGTTGCTGGTTCGGTGAGTTTCGGTTGGAGTGATGAAACCTGCAGCTTCCGAATCTCAGATGTGGGCTTTCAGCACAGACGGCGTGTCCGTGTCCACTTTGTGTTTACATGTTTTAAAGGAATCTGTTTACCTGCTTGCTAATCGTTTGGTGGTTGTTGAAATGGTTTTGTGGGCTTTTAGCTGAGATGCTGATGTTTCTGTGGACAACACACGTATCTGTATTTAAATAGCAGATGTGGCGATACATCCCATTAAACCAGATGTTCTCCCCGGGTACCGGGGCTCTGATTTTCAACAGGTTAGTTGTTTCTTACTTAATTACTTTGTGCTGTATGACTGGCATTAAGGAGGTTTTAATCAGTGGGAAAAGCTGTAAAACTCAATCACAGCTAAACGTCCAAAATTTAAACTCGCGCTTGTTTGTTCTGCTGCTCACCACAAACAAGTGAACTATAAATGGCTTCAAGCGCACATAGGGCAGGGATAGCTCAGTAGGTAGAGTGGTGGCCCCATGATCGGAAGGTCGGGGGTTCAACTCCATTGAACGGCTACCCTGTACCCCTGAGCAAGGTACCGTCCCTACACACTGCTCCCCAGGCGCTGCATTGGTGGCTGCCCACTGCTTCACTGGGTGAATGGGTTAAATGCAGAGGAACTATTTCCCTATGGGGACTAACACATACACATTATTACATTATTATTATGCACACACATGCACGCACACCTCTGCCATTCAAAGACACTTTGTGTATAGTAATAATAATATATGTGACCCGTGGTAGGTACCTATTTAAAATAGGACAGAGCCGTAGGCGCACAGTCAGTTTAAAAGAGTTTAATTTTTTAATACAAAATAAAAGAAACAGTGTAACAGCGGCACCTCAAACCAATTAAAAACGTTACCTTATTAGAGACGATAAAACTGTGCGATTGCGCGTGAGACGGGACAAGCGCTGCGGGGAACCGTTTAAAAACAAATCGACATAGCACACAGGTTAAACATGGACGGCAACTCACACATGACCCCAAATGGGTAAAACACTATAGAAAAAAAGTCAAATCTTCAGTGCCGTCTTCACTCGGGCCCACCGCTGTGCATGCAAAAGCGGGGAGACAAAAAAAGGATTTGTTTTCCCTGCA